ACAACTTATCAAAAGTTTCATAAGAAGGTATAAGAAATCTTAATAGCCCTATATCATGAAGAAATTAAATTTACAATTAATAACAAAAATTCCCACAGAGAAAACCCCAGGCCCTGAGGTTTTCACTGGTGAGCTCTATCAAATACTTAAGACAGGAAAAATATCGATTTTACAAAAAATTCTGATATCAGCCCTATAATTTCAAGGAACTGAATTTCTGCCAGAAACCCAAATAAGCAAAGAAACAAATTCTCCCCTAAGACCTCCAGAAAGGGAGGCAGCCTTGTGGATACCTTGATTTTAACCCAATGAGACCCCTGTCAGACTTCTGACCTACAGAGCTACAGATAATAGATTTGTGTAATTTACTAAGTTTGTGGTAATTTGTTATAGCAGCAAACTAATACTATTAGTTTAGATACAATTAGAGAGGAATCAACAGCAATGTGATTAATTCAGGAATGAACATCAAAGCATAAATCCACCTACATGTTTCTTAGTCTACTATTCAGAGATCAATTCTTTCTCATATGGCTTAACATTCCCTCCTGAAGAGGAGTATTAAAATAGATCTTCGACTAACTCAGGGAATTCTTTTTAGGAAGGCAAGATCTAAGGTCAGTAAATGGGTTGGAAGCCTATTCCTCTCAGTCTCTGCAAGACCAAGCATGGCTGAATTACTTAAAACAGATCAAATTAAAGTTTATAGGGGGATTTAATAAAAGAGTGGCAGCAGTCTGTCTTCCAAGAAACTCCTGTTTGTGATCATTGCCAGTCCCGTCATTCTCTCTTTAACCTCAAAATCAAAGGAGGAAAATGAAAACATAAATATTCTACAAATCCTGGGCAAACAAGGCCTGAAGGAAGGGGACTGGGTTAGTTAAGATATTAGAGTCATAATTTGTTTTGCATTGTATCCAACATAACGCCTATAATATTAGTGACATTTAATAAAAGATTATTAATTTACAACCAGCCTAAGTTTTGCCCTGAATCCAGAACCAAACAACTTTGTAACGTTCTTATCTTCAAGCCCATTCCTCTTTATTACCCTGGAAAGGAAAATTATGTGAAGTCCTTACCCACTCCTGTGCTCACTATCAAATCCGCTAATATACCGAAAAACCCTGCGCAGTAGTTAAACATGACGAGCTTGATGTAGGCACTGGTATGACTAGAAAACAGGAAACTTATCAGGTACAAGAAGGGAATGACAGACCAGCCAAACAGCATGAAGATGAACAATGTGTCCAGAAAGTGGTAATCCTTGATCAATACATCCAATCCAGAGGACATGAACACCACCTGAGACACAAAGAGTACAGAAGTAACGTCAAAGTGAAGAAAACTATGCAATGCCTAAGAACTCAAGTCTAAAAACTTAGAGAAGGAAAAATCTTCCTTTATTAGAACACAGAAGTATTTATTAATCAAATAATTTTGTCTGTGAGGTACTTCCACTTTTTACTCATCACTGAGCAGAACCCTTCTGCCTACCTTTCTACTTGTTTTTTATCTACTTGGAACAGTTTCATTTTGTTCTCCTTGAACAAGATAAAATCAAATTGTGTTCTTTCTTCCCATTATCCCATCCCCAAATAAGCCCACACTCAGTATTTCCAGAAATTAGATCACCTAGCAGGGAAACCTTTTTTTTTTTTTTTAAGATTTTCATTCTGGCAGCTGTAAGCTGTGATACTAAGGGACCTACCTCTCAGGGCTCTCCATCTTTAGATTCTGCCTGTTGGCTCTACTCTGTTTCCCAACCCTTGTCTCCTCATCTCAGAGATAACCTATAGACCTGTTAAGGGAAATAAATTTCCAGAAATCTATATCTTATAAGTTGTTAACTGTAGTTTCTCCAAGTATTCCAGAGTTACCTATTTTGAACTATTAAACAATTATGTAGCAGGATCCTTGAGGAGTGGACAGTAGGTTTAAGCTGAGAATAGCTACTATGTGACTGACAGCACATTCTCAATGGTAGTAGAAAAAGCAACAAACAAATGAACATAATGTAGGTGAAAATATTTGAGTATTATGGGCCTGGTTACTTTGCTTCTATCACAGCAGACTTTCAGTCTAAAGAGAAACGGAATGAATACAACCACTTACTTATATAGAAGTTGGGATGATCTAGGTTTTTTTTTTGTTGAAAGAGTTATAACGTTTAGGGATTTCACTAATTATAAAATGTACATTTTTGGATAGGAAGACATAACATTGTAAAAAAGCAGATTTTCCCCAAATTAGTCTATAAACAAAAATATCAATATTTAGATCAATATTTTAAACTTTATTCTGAAATGTAACATTCAGAAATGCACAAAATATAGATCCATGAATTATCACAAAACAAACACTGTTGTGAAATTACCACACAAAGACTCCAATGCCACTCAAGGCACAAACATCTTCCTCCTCTGTGAAGGTAACTATCCTGACTTCCACAATAATCGTTTTCCTTCTTTTCTTTATGGTTTTAACATAACGTCCCTAAATATTACCTGTATTTTCAACTGTACATAAATGGAATTATAGAGTATGTACTTCTTCATACCTGGCTTCTTGCGCCAACATTGTATTTGTGAAACTCATCCCCACGGTTGCCTTGTATGGTAATTCATTTTCATTGCTGTTTAGTATTCCAGTATATTATTATATCACATTTACTTATCTGTTATAGTAGTATAAACATTTGAGTTGTTTGCAGTGTTTATTGTTTATTATTAGGAATAACATTTTTAAGAATATTCTTGTACATGTCTCTTGCTGCATATATGTATGCACTTCTACTGGAGATAGACATATATTCACAAATCTTCAAAGTTTTAGAAGAAAATGGCAAATTATTTACCAAAGTGATTGAACCAATTTAAGTTCCCACCAACAGTAATCATAACTCCCAATTCATTACATTCTTACCAACATTTGGTATTTTAGTCTTTTTAATTTTAGCTTTTCTTGTGGGTATGTATTAGTCTATGTATTACTTTCCTATTGCTGCTTAACAAATTACCACAAACTTAGCGGCTAAATCAACACAAATTTATCTTATGGTTTTGGAACTATGCTAAAATCAAGGAGGCACCTGGACTTCATTCCTTCTGGAGGCTCTAGGCGGAATCCATTTTCTTGCCTTTTCAAGCTTCTAGAGGCTATCTGCATTAGTTGGCTCATGGCCACTTCCTTTATCTTCAGAGCCAGAATCTTAGCACTTTCAAATCTCTATCTAACTCTGACATTCCTGCTTCCCTCTTTTATTTGCATAAGGACACTTGTGATTAAATTGGATCCACTGGATATTTCAGGATAATCTCTGCATCTCAAGATACTTAATTCCATCTGCTAAATCCCTTTTGCCACACATTCACAAGTTCTGAAGATTACGACTTAGACATCTTTGGAGGTCCATTATGTTTCTTACCAGAGTATATTATTCTGATATTTTTTATGGTGGTAAAAATACATAACAAAAAATTGTACCATTTTAACTATTTTTAAGT